CATCATTCTTTGTTAAAAATTCAGGTATCTCTTGTAAATGAGTCCCTGAGGCTCAATAGGATTAACCTGTATAAATAAAGTTGAAAGAATAAGTGATTCTGTCCAGGACAATGAATGTGTGAAAACATGACATTATTCAGTTCAGGGTAGTTAGGAAAGGTGACCTCAGGGTCAGAGGTCATGGTCAGTACACCACATCTTCCTGCTGCAGTAGTGTTTGCATGAATTGGTAAGAAATTTTTGACATTAAAGCTGTTTGAAGATCGCAGCAAATCACTATGTGGTCAGAAAATAACTGAGGGTGTTCAAAGCTGTATTTACTTCCAAAGATCTGAACCACTGCTTTGAGGAGTGTTGTCAGAAAAAGCATCACCCTACTGAATATTCATTCCTTTTTCATTGTTCAGTATTTTGTAGAGCATAAACATTCGGGAAAGAAAAACCTACTCCTCATGACATCTCTTTTGGAGTTCAAACTCGGTTCTCAGTGCTTTCTGTGTGATGTTACCACAAATGCAAATTATATAAGACAGTGGAAACAATTTGTCTCGAGTTTTTCGGCTGCACTGACCATTTTCCCCAAACTGTGGCACATGACATGCTGGCTCCTGGATATGTTAGCTCTGATGCTAACCCTAAAAAAAAAAACGTTAGTGTAATCTTGTCCTGTTGGTTGAAGCTGACACTAATTCCCTGGGACAGGAGTGTAGCGGTGTGTGATTTAGCGGCGTATGCTAAGTGCTGCTGGAGCTGCAGGCTAGTCTGTGGGCACCAGGGCAGAGAGAAAGCAAACTGAAAAGTACTGACTTGACTAACTGGCCTGATTAAACCGGGTGTGAGATGACATGGATCAGATACACACTTTTACCCAGCTGGAAAGACGAATTGGCAGGATTAAACAGAGAAAGTATAAGAGAAAAATAAGAGAATGCACAGATAAGGACGATTAGCAGGTGTGGCTGTGCAGATAGAGAAGACGGGGGGTGGAGATTAAGAAATCTGGAGACAGTAAGTTAATTCTGGAGATGTGAGGTTTCCTCCTGGGGTGTTTTTTTCAGCTCTGCTGGACTCTGGTGGTGTAAGAAATTGGCTGAGATGCAACGTAGCATTCGCATCATGGTTTCATTAGCTTTCATTCAGCCCTGGGCATTTCACACTGCATTTCCTCTACTCATCTGCCTCTTTTAGATCTGCTCTCATTACAGGAAAAGGTAATGTGTAGTATGCCAAAACTGAAAACTGAAGCTCCGTCTTGTCTGTATTGTACTGGTACTTTGTTTCAGATGAGCCGCTGAAAGTTGAGCTTTTTCTTCGTCTTCTTTTCTTCATTTTAGTAAATGTTATTGATTGCTGCAGACACTTGTGTGCCTTTAGCGGTTTGGAATCGTTCCCTTCATACCCCAACAAATGAGGTAAAATCAGATTACATTTATTTCAAGGTTATTTGATTCATTAATCGCCAGCACTTTACTGTGCACATTGCCTGCAGGCACAGATTATGTTGAAATGAAGGCAGGCACTGGAATAGAGATTTGGGGCCTTTTTATGAAGCCTGATAAGGGGTTTAGCAGAAGTAGTTAGGTTGAACCCTGGTCTCCTCACAGTCACTCTTTCTGACACCAACTTCACTAATATTTAAAGAGCAGAGGACAGAAAGAGGGCAGTGCTCTTCCTGCCCTAGCTTGTGCATATCATGCGATCTCATTCTGGATTTTGTGTTAAGACTCTCATATTTAAATTCAAGTCACATAACTGAGGCTCTATTTTTCATGACGATAAATACAAACTATTTAAAAGGGGTAGGGGGCGTCTTTGCTAAGTTTTGAAGCCTTGTTTAGAATCCACAACACCCTCACATGCTGCTGGTTTGATGTGTTTTCTGTGTGCTGTGATGTAAAAGAGACTTTTAGGTTGTTTCAAAAGGCGTGACTCAATTTCTTACAAAAAGAAGTACGCCCGTGTCCCCCATCGCCGAGGGATTTGGAAGTGAAGTTGTAGTTTTCATTATGAGTGTTTTTCTAGAATTGAACTGAACAGGAAATGCAAGTAAACCTTACTATTGTCAGTGCAATGTATTCAAGTAGGTAGGGTTTACTGTGAATAAGAATACAGGAAGATGGTTTTATTTATGTTGTTTGTCTGAGGCAGTGCAGAGAGAGGGATCCTGAGGGAGCAATTTTATCCATCAATGGCAGAGCCCAAATGTTATGCACAGTGGTGTAGTCTACATTTTTGTAGTGGGTATGTGCTTAGAAACCAAAGTACACCATTTAGTACAATGTAATCGTCAATTTACTTTGATTTTTAAGCCTATTGAACATTTCCAAATTTCTCTGACGCTTATAGTTGAATATGTGCGCAACAAACTTTGTACAACAGTTGGCTTTGTATTAAAGACATGTTATAGAATTTATTAAATGGTATCAAAGCAAAACATGTTCAAGTATTAAGTAGTAAGTACAGAAGTATTAATTATACAACAATTTGCTGGATAAGCGAATGTAATAAACAAGCGCTGTACACAGATAGATTGTTACGGAAGCGTTTAACTGCTGTTTAACGTTTCAATGACACGTGCCTAATGATATGTCGTGCATCAATGGGCACTTTTAAATGGGTATACTGAAATTCTCCAGTTTTTCTAGTGGGTATACTCCATATACCCACATATCACCAACGACACCACTGGATATGCACTTGTTACTTACCTGGTACATACCATTAAGCAAATAGTTTGCACATAGTCTTGTGCTCCCAATATGTGTTTGGGATTACTCTCAGCTACTACCAAACATTTGAACATACACGTCCACGCACAAAAATGAGACAGATGATTTTTTTTTTGCCTTGAATGGCAAGCAACAAAAAAATTGTAACTGGTAAATGGACTGTACTTATATAGTGCCTTTCTATCTTATCAAGATACTCAAAGCACTTATTCCAATCCGTGTCCTCATTTACCCATTCATACAGCACTCTACTAGATCTATACAAAGATTAATCAGTGCTTTATCACATTCATACACCGATGGGACACACATTGGAGGCAATGAGGGGTTCAGTGTCTTGCCCAGGGACACTTCAACATGTGACTGCTGGTGGAATTGAACCCCCAACTCTCCCATTGGAGGACGACTGTTCTAATCACTCAGCCACATCTGCCCCATGTTCAAACAAGCAGGTTCTTGAGGAAAAAAGTGTTAAACTCCAACATTCTTTGCTCGTTAGCTTGAACAAGATCAAGGGTTTAATGAACGCCAACGGTTTGTTTTATGGCTCACAGATTGTTCATGAGACAGGTATAAAATTTTACTTTTTTGTTTTTATGTTTTGTAGGGTATGATGGGTGTAGCGGGCTGGATGTTGCTCCTACTCTCTTCAATTATGGTGCCTGCGGCATCCCAAAAGCCTCCAGGACTCAGTGTGGGCGTGATACTGGGCCAGACACGTCCAGTATCCGACCAAGAGCTCCGCTATCCTCGGCGCCCTGAAGACGCTCTTGACGTCAATGTAGTCACACTAAAGATGAACCAGACTGACCCAAAGTCTGTGATTACGGAGGTGAGAGCACATATTTCAGTATTATGTATTCTGTTTGCTAAACACAACAGCAATTTGTTTACAACGTGCGTGGGTTCCTTGTGTCTCAGGTGTGTGAGCTTCTGTCTCGCTCTCGTCTCCATGGCCTTGTGTTTGCGGATGGCACCGATCAGGAGGCCATAGCCCAAATCCTTGACTTCCTGTCTGTTCAGACGCAGCTTCCAGTTCTTGGAGTTCATGGAGGATCCTCTATGATTATGGCTGACAAGGTGAGTGACACAAGGCATGCACCGATGAGCACAGGACAACGGAGGGTAAACAAGACTTCCGCCTCTCTGTATATAAAATGTTTAGAATTAGGAGCAGATACTACATGTTTCACAGATAAGTAATTTTTTCATATCCATTATTATTTCAGGCTTTAAACTTGTTAAAACTAGACTGCCAAGAACAAATAGAAAGTATTGTTACATTTGGATTTCACAAATTCACTCCTGATTAGATTGTTAGCTCACTACACTATGTTAGAGTGATTTTTTTTTATTTTCAGCACAAATTATGTTGAATATATTCATTTTACACCCTGTAAAGATATCACTTTTTTAAAAGATATTTTATTTGTTATAAAAAAACATTAAAACATTGCCTTTGAATACAGCTACATTCTAATACAGTTCTAATCTTCTTTTTTCATTTCCTTATAAATGTTGATTAGTAAATGACACAGAGGGAGAGTCTTCATACGGTCAATGGAGCGTTCCTGTAGAACATACAGTATACATCATTGTCTGGTACATCGTTTTTATTTTAGCAGATGATCGTGCTTTGATTAAATATGTAAAAATGTGTTATATGCTTGGCCTAAAAGAGGGCTACACAAAACCAAAATCAACAATGAAGAAAGTAAGAAAGAAAGAAAGAATGAACAAACGAAAGAAAGAAAAATAAAGAAAAAATAAAGAACAAAAAAACAAAGAACAAAAGAAAGACCAAAAGAAAGAAACATCAGAAAAAAGAACAAAAGGAAAAAAATAAGGAACTAAAGAAAGAATGAAAGAAAGATAAAAAGAGAGAACAAAAGAAAGAATAAAAGGATAAAGAACATAAAAGAAAGAACAAAAGTAAAATAGAAAAAAGAACAATAGAAAGAAAGAAAGCACAAAAGAAAAAGAAGGAAAGAAAAAAGAAAAAATGAAAGAAAGATAAAAAAGAGAACAAAAGATAAAAGAATCAAACAAAGAAACTAAGAACAAAATAATCTAAGAGAAAAAAGAATGAAATAATCTAAGAAAGAAAATTAAACAAATAAAGAAAGAAAGTAAGAAAGAAATAAATAAAAATGAAATAAACGAAAGAA